TTTTACTGCTATAAACTGGCTACTTTATGTAAGACAAAGCTCATATATATCAAATACGAGATACCTATCTTATGTTAAGAATTGAGTACTTAATGGAAAAAGAATGCAGATATACATACATGCATACAAAATAGACAGCCTATGTCTGCTACAGTTACAGATATTATTACTGAAGAGTAATATCTCTGTGTTCAAATACATACTTGATCGAAGGAAAAACGTCGGACATAGTTTTAAATAAGAGGTATATTTGTTTTATTCCTTTCAATTGAGTGTCAGAAGAAAAAAATTTGTAAAGGAATAAATGTGTCCGTTACTGATAAAAATTACATTTTTTTAAACAGGAGACATCTGTTTTCTCTTGGTATGAACAGATATAGAAACAGATATTGTTTGTCTTATTTGTCGATAACAATAATATAGAAAATGCTAACTTCTAACCTCTTATTTTTCTATATTACTGATATGACAAATCTTAAGGGGGAACCCCCCCTCCGAAACCTATCTTCTAAACGATACCACAGACTTCGATGAAAATTTCAGGAAATAGAAAAGCTAATGTAACTAGCATCTGATAAAAATTTCAACCAATCATTTTTGATAATTAAGAAGCTATACTCAATTTACTCATGAAAATGGGGCTTTTGGCACGGAACATTTTCCTGAGGCGCGATAGCATGGAAAACGTTGAAATTTGTTTCAAAATGAAGAAAAATCTTTTATCTAGAAATTGTGGGGACAGTTTTTTGAAATTCATCTTCGTTCAATAGTAGTGATCATTTTAAATCGAAAATCGCAAAAACTGCTTTGAGCACTTTCAAAGATTTTCAAATATCTAAACAATGGAGATATATTTTGAAAATCTGTTCCGACAATTTCTAGAAAAAAGTCTCATCTTTTAAATAAATAAAAATCAGCAGAGTACATCAAGCGGTGAACTGGGAAAATGTTCCGCAATGGTCAGAAAACGATAAAAAAGTGAAGCTGAGAAAAACGAATAACAACATTGCGACGTAGTTGATGATCTTCTTGTAGAGAGAATTCGAGCATATTATATATCACTGAAAAGCGCATAAAAAGTTCTTACAGTTGGTAGTATTTTCAAGAAAAAAATAAGCCGATTTCTTAAGCTAATTTCTGAATCCAAGTTCACTGTGGCGCCATCTTTTCGAAAAATAGCCTAATTTTGAACCTTTCTTATAAGACTGCAACATCAAAAACATGATTACTCGATACGGTAATGGTTTTAGAGTGCTAATAAAGAAGGTAGAACGATATTAGTTACCGATAATTAAGAAAGAAAATCAACAAGACAGCCGATTTTCCATTATAGCGTCCAGTAAACTTGCCAAAATTGGGCAAAATATGTTCCATTCCTATATAGTTTATACATATTCTGAAAGAGGACACTTGGGGCTACAAGAAGATGTGTTTTTCCAAAAATCGACTTTTTCAAGGAAAAATCGACTTTCGAAGGGGGGGGGGGGGTTCCCCCTTAAGTTTTATTTTTTATATTTCTTTATTGGTTATATAGAAAATTTTATTTTTTATTTTTATATATTGGTACTATAAAAAATCTTAATTTTTATTTCTTGTTCTTCTATATTGATGACATAGAAACAGTTAGTTTTGTGTCTTATTTGTCTTTAGTAGTAATATAGAAAATGCTGATTTTTACATCTTATTATTCTACATTGGTGATATGAGAATCTTATTTTTTTTTATTTTTCTATATTGGTAACAAAGATAACTATTTGTTTTATTTCTCATTTTTGTATATTGCTGATATAGAAAATATTTTTTTTATTTTTCAATTTTTCTATATTAATAGTATAGAAAATCTTAATTTGTATTTCTTATTTTTCTATATTGATGATATAGAAACAGTTAGTTTTGTGTCTTATTCGTCTATAATAATAATATAGAAAATGCTAATTTTTCTTTCTTATTTTTCTATATTAGTAGTACAAAAAGTCCCATTTTTTTCTTACTTTTCCATATTAATAATACGGAAGATCATATTCTTTAGTTTTTTGTTTTTTCTGTATTGGTAATGTAGAAAATCTTAACTTGTATTTCTTATTTCTCTTTGTTAACGGTATAGAGAGTAAACTTTTTTATGCATGAGTTGTTGTGACTATTATGCTATGAATTTTATTATGTAATGATAACTGCCGGTGTAGGCACCTATGCATCGGGTTCAGTAAGTGAAAAGATCTGGGCTATGTGAAGTTAAGTTGAACTATAGCTGCCAGGGAAGGTGAAACATGACGAGAATGTATGTTTTTAAAGAAATCAGTTAAAGCCTTACTGTACGATTTTTTTATAATCATACAAGATTTTAGTGTTGGAGCATCTAAGAAACTTGCTAGAAGAATTGACATCAGATTTCTGAGACGACAATTTTCCATATGATTTTTTGTGTCATCTTGTATGAACATATACGATTTTTGAGTAACATCGAATAGGATCATACAAGAATTCATAACTGATCTTACTATGTGATTTTTCGACCTGGGTATGGTCGACACATGCAACTCAACTTACGACTAGCTTACGATCATATACAGTCGTATACTACACTCGTACACGGCAGTCGCTTATTTTCAACGTGTACGTTGATTGTATTTGAACATATGGCACCGTATACGTTCATCGTATACAATCGTCGTGTACGATGACCGTTTCTAGACGTATTTCGTCGTATACGACCGTTTACGATTGTGCTTTTTTGACCTGGGTGGTAGTACTTCCAATTTTATACTTAATATCAGCTTTATTTCACAATAAATTTACAGGATATCAGCGGGTGAGGGTGTGAATGTGAATATCAGATGAAAACAACCACATACACCCACACCCTCGAGTAGAACTATCTGGTTTATACTTCTTCTATGACAAAAACAATAATATAAAAATATATGAAATAATTATTGAATAGAGAGAAAAAAAAATCAACATTCTTCGCAGGCACTATAAATGGACAATATAGACTCCTTGCACTTACTTTTTTTTTGTCTATGTCTAAAGAATTTATCGTTTACTTGTTTTGTACATTTCCATATATACCGTATATAGAAAAAGAACATGTGTTGATAAAGTTTCTTTTAGCTAATTATTATTATCGTTATATAATCAGTGTTGGAGTTTCTGCTACATTTTGTAATGGACAGAGCAGGAAAAAAATGAATGAAATATTGTTGTTCGTCTAGAAAATACTAATACCAATTTTGGATATCTATCCAGTTTAGTTTAGCCAACCAACAGAAGTATATTTATGTATTTAGTAAGAAAGAGAGAAAGAAAAAAAACAGATCTATTTCTTATTAATACGCGGTTTTTTTTCTCTCGACTATCAACAAGGAAACTATATATACTTGTTATTTAACAAAACAAGTGTTTCGCATAAGTCGAGCTACGAGCGTTACATACATCAAGTTGACAAAGATTTATCAGTAAGTTTTAAAGAATACGAAATAATAATTTATATAATCAATTGTATTGAATAGAATTCTTCGAAACAAAAATGTCAATTGAAGGGTAAGATTTATATTAAAAAATGAAATAGAATGGTAGATTTTTTTTGTTTTTGTTTCTTTATAGACAAATTCTCGATCCGAATGATCCAGAAGTAAAAGAGACATTATCATATTTAGCTATACCAACTGAAGAACGTATCAAACTTCAAGCTCAACCATTCGATGGTAAAAAGCAATGTTGGGCACCCGATGCAAAAGAATCATTCATTGCTGCTGAAATTACTGACACAAAAGGTGAAGAAGTAACAGTGAAAACATCTAAAGGAGACGTATGTGAATTCACTAAAAATAAAAAATAAAAAAATATTCATGTTTTTTTTTTAGAGTCTTACAATTAAAAAGGATGATATTCAACAGATGAATCCACCTAAATTTACTTGTTGTGATGATATGGCTAATTTAACATATTTAAATGATGCTTCTGTCTTACATAATTTACGTGATCGTTATAGTCGATGGATCATTTATGTAAGTTTAGTAATTTTATTTTTAAAATATTCTTTTTTTTTGTTTAGACCTATTCAGGTTTATTTTGTGTTGCCATCAATCCATACAAACGTTTACCGATTTATACCTTGAAGGCAGTACTTATGTATCGTGGAAAAAAACGTACTGAATTACCACCACATTTATTTGCTATTTCTGATAATGCATATTCAAATATGCTTCGTGGTAAGTAAACAAAAAAAAGAAGACTCTATTTTTTCTTTTTTTTCCATTGATAATATCGTATGAAAAATAGAGAAAATTAATGATAATTTCTATACAAAAATTTTAAGAATCAGTATCATAAATTGCTTTACTTATTCTTGTATAAACTGTGTAGGAGAAAAAGAGAATTAGATTATCTACTGCCTATTACCAATAGTAAACATTATTTCAACACTAGAAGAAGACAATCACTAGAAAGATAAATGGAAATATATGAAAGAAGAAATAAGAGCTAAAAAAAGCATTTCCTTAAATGGTCCGATATATAAATACTGTTAGTACACCCAAATTTATATTTATCAACAGCGATATGAATTTATAAATGAGAAAAGATTGTCAACTGTTGACAACAAGTTGTTTGACAAGGACTAATTATCTATATGATAAGTGTTTCATAGAAGGTCATAAAATAAAAGAGCAGAAAAAAAAACTATTAATAATAATAATCGTATTATAGAATTTAAAATAAAACAAAAAAGCTAATTGAAAAAAAAAAACTTGATATTGGATAACATTGGTTGATTTTATTTAGATCGTGAAAATCAATCAATCTTAATCACAGGTGAATCAGGTGCTGGAAAAACAGAAAACACTAAAAAAGTCATTCAATATTTCGCATTGGTTGCTGCTGCTAGTACTAAAAAAGAAGAAGATCCTGGAAAGGTAATGTGTTTTAAATTAAATTTTTTCTATGAAGTAAAAAGGACGATGGAAAGTTGATAGAAAAATCAGTTCTATAAATCTACAACCCGAACTTTCTTATATCAAACGAAAGAGTTCGAAGAGTTGAACATTTTTTATGACGAAATTTGA